TATTTTGTTTCTGTTTGGAATGTTTCATAAGCAGCCCATCATTAGAGCTACAATTGAGAAGATTTTTTTTATATATACATTAGAAGTTATGGTCCAACAAGAAACTAACCTCCTCTAATAAATCATAGAGAGACTGACTGAACTGCCAAGAATAAACATTTCATTTTAGTTCATATATAAGAGTGTCTGTGAGTGTGCTTCTGTTTTATTCATATTCATTGTGGTTCTGCTTGATGACTCTCGTGTTGAGTTCACTGGACCATGTTTTCCTCACCACAGTCTCTCCACCAACCCTCAGGTCCACGTTCAGGCCGATTTCACTGCTATCAAAGTGAAGGAGGTTTTTGTACGGCTCTAAATCACTGTGTGAACTCTCCAACTCCATGGTAACCAAGACAGTAGTAATCGCCAACATCTTCAGCCTCAACACCACTGATGGTTAAAGTGTAGTCAGAACCAGAACGACTGCCACTGAATCGAGGAGGAGTTCCAGAGAAGCGAGTTGATGAGTCGTAAATGAGAAGTTTTGGAGCCTGTCCAGGTTTCTGAAGGTACCAACTGAGATCAGGACCGATATCTGAACTCCCCTTGGCGCTGATGGTCACAGTCCCTCTGAGACCGACGGCCTTGGAAGGGTCTGTCTGAGTCAGGAATTGGTTTGCAGAAGTGTCTGAAATAAGAAATGAAATATAAACATTGATAAGAAATGACACATGTCTCACAATAAAGAGCAGCGGTTTAAATTATAATAGTAACAAGACAAAAACATCTGTCAGATAGTTTTCAAAATGTCTCACCGTGGCACAGAACAGCCAACAAGAGGATTATTGACCACATCATCCTGGTGCAGTTTTCAGTGTGCGTTCATGAAAACTGTTACGACTTTCTGTGTCAGGAGAACTTAAAACAGTGAGGAGCAGTGAGGCATTGAAATCATGCAAAATGAGGTTTCAAAGGCAAACACACAGCTGCCCTTGTGAAACTGAAAAGGCCGAGATGAGGCGGAGTGACAGTTCATCCTCGAGTGTGGAGTCAAAACCTCTCTGTGTCGGTTCCCTTGTTTGCTAACGCTCTTTCCATTTTAACTATTTTTAAATTCTTTAACATGTGAAGCCTCCCTTTCCTGGTTCTCCAACTGCATGGACACCAAAACAGAAGTCATTTCCAACTTAGTGGCAGTTTACATGATTGAACATCTGTAAAGGGGACAAAACCTGAATGTCAGAGACATGAACATCTAAGTTTCACTCTGCATTTGACTGGAGGTGGATTTCAGTGAGTGTTGTACGGTTGTGCTTTGGGTGACTGTGCTGATCTTCAGGTGAGCAGTGGTGCACATCAGAGTCTCCTGCAACAGGTCGAAGCTTCACCAAAGCAACATGTGTGCAGTCTCATCTGAGAGTCTTTTTTGTTTGACTCTGGATCCCCGTGTGCACATCACCACATACTCTATTATAGAGTATCTACTGCACTCTCAGCTTGGACTCCACTGATCAGAGGTTCTGTTTCTGATCCGACTAAAGCAGCAGTTTGGGAGGCTGTTCTGGTTCCTGCAGGTACTGAGATCATCATCAACTCTCCTTCACCAGCAGACTTTGATACAGGAGAGTTACAGATCCTACAAGAGAATAACAATGTGCACTCTGTAATATATTAGACCTTTGCTGTACACCACCCTCTTTGGTCAAAACGGGAGACGGAAAATAAATATGAATTGTTCATATTGCAGATGGATAATAAGATTATCAACCTGTGACCAACAAAATAAAAGCCTATTCTCCTTTTTCAGGAAAAGTTTCCTCAGACTTTTCGTAGTGTCTCGTCATTGTTGTTAAGTTTCTCTTTGTAGTCGTTTCTTTTTTGTGCATAGGTCTCCCGATTTACAAATGTGTGGTGGTTGTTTGTCGCTTGTTATGAGTTTGTTCTTAGTGTATTTTAATTGTCATTGTAGCCGTCTGACTTTCTGCCCGCTGGGATCCCTAAAAGGCCCATTCAATGATTCAGACACAAGCCTTAAGTCCACCTTTAATAATAATTTACATACTGTGTGGATGATATTCAAAGCCAGAATCCATCAATCCATCACAAAGAAGGCTCAGCAGAGGTTGTTCTTCCTGAGGCAGCTGAAGAAATTCAACCTGCCAAAGACGATGATGGTCCACTTCTACACGGCCATCATGGAGTCCATCCTCTGCTCCTCCATCACCGTCTGGTACGCTGCAGCCACAGCCAAGGACAAGGGCAGGCTGCAGCGTGTCATCCGCTCTGCAGAGAGGGTGATCGGGTGCAATCTGCCGTCCCTGCAGGACTTGTTCGCTTCCAGGGCTCTGAAGCAGCTAAAAAGATCGTGGCCGACCCCTCCCACCCCGGACAAAACTTGTTTGTGCCCCTTCCATCTGGCAGGAGGCTGAGGTCCATCAGGACTAAGACCTCCGCCGCACCAACAGTTTCTTCCCGTTGGCAGTCGGACTCATCAACAGAGCCCGGTCCCCAAGACAAATTCCTTGTATGTTTGGCATATTATGGTAATAAATGTTTCCTGATTCCTGATTCCTGAAGTTGTTGGTTTCATGATTAACAACAACACAATCCTTTAGAACTCAACCACTTACACAAACATGTAACTGGAAGGTGTTTTCCAGCCTGTTGAAAGTATCAACAAGTCTGTTTGTGTGTTTGCGCCCAACCTGTTGAGCACCATACGAGTGGGTTTTACATCCAACATCTGTTTAAGTTCAAAGGCTTTTAATCAAATTTTCTAAAACAGTAAAAAGAGGTAAAAAACCCGTCTCATGTAGCACTCAAAGCAGGTCAAACACAACCTCCAAACACTGCTGGACTCGATTGTCTCAGGCTCATCAACACATTTTGTGGTTTTGAGTCCATCATTAAACAACTCAGGGAACTCAGGATGAATTGGTACAGACATTTGTGTACACAAAGAAAATGTCTTGTGTTTAAAGCCAGTTCAAAGCCTTACATTCCCACAGCAGTTGACACGTTAACTGAAGGATAAAAAAAAACTTCTTCCTCTCTAATCGCTCATTCTCTGACTTGTACGTGACGTGGATTCATCACCTGGTGTGTGATCTAAACTGTGAGAATGAGACTTTCAATGCATCTTACATCTGATCTACACTGCCATCTTGTGAATGAAAGTAAAATAACTACAACCTGAGAGTCAAAGTGGCCTATTAACTTGATCAAATACACACAATACTGTTTTGTTTTGTTTTTCTTGTTTTTTTTTACTAAAATGTGTTGTGCATATTTGATGCAAATATTTTCAACTTACTTTAGTATTTTATACGGGAAATCTAAGTGTGAAGTAATGAGCTCATAAATGTGTGAAAACCACAATGTTTCAAAATAAAATGTAGTAGAGGTGGAATTATTTGAGGGAAGCGGATTAAATGCACTCTATTACTAGCAATGCTTGAGCAATGAGAATGATCGTCCCCATCATCTTTATTCATATCTTTAATTTGATGCTGTCCTCGGGGGATTTAAAACCCAATGAATTGAATAAACTGCTGCATCTTCAGTCTGAACTCCACTGATGCTCAAAGTAAAGTCGGAGCCGCTTCCACTGCCACTAAACCGAGCAGCTGTTCCTGAATGTTTGATGCTCACGTGTTTTATAAGGAACTTCGGTTCCTGTCCAGATTTCTGTTGATACCAGAACATACATTGACCGTGGTTACAGTTTCCAACATCTCTGTTGGTCTTGCAGGTGAGAGTGGCTGTAGATCCTGGAGCAGAGCTGAGTCACAGTCACCTGACCGCTGCATCCTGCAGACAAACACAAATCATTACTTAAATACATGAGAGAAAGAGCAGCCCAGCATGTTTGACGTGTTGCTGAGTGAATGAACCTGTAAAGCAGCAGCAGGCAAGCGTCCACATGAGGATGTGATCAGAGTCATGGTGCTTGTGTTTGTGTTGACTGACAGATGTGAGTCCTGCAGCGTTGAAGTCACAGGACTATAAACCTTCTCAGTTCCCTGGAGGATCATCTGACGATGCAAAGCCTCCTCTCTAAGGAAATGATTTCACTGCTGTCCAAAGAGTGAGGGCAACGTGGGACACCAAGCCAAGGAATACTGCTCGCTTCAACACGATGGTCTTAATAGAATAGAAGAAACAGTTATATCAGAAGATGAAGATTTAAGGACATTTGTGTTCACTTTGGTTGGTATCATGTGTGTGTTTGTCTGCCTTTCGTTTTCTGACAGAGTTAACTGTGAATGAATAGCATATTGAAATTTGGCTCAGCACGAATATCATTATTGATATTATTCATTATTAATTAACTTAACCAATTATCACGTGATATAAAAAAAAAGCTGTGAAAAGCTGACTTTGTTACAAAGAGATCATGATCGTTTCTTTACCAGGTTTGTAAATGAAAAGATAAAATTAATGAATTTGATTAAAATGATTATTTAGGTCTATATCAGCAGAGAAACATTTTATTTTTAAGAAAGCAGACTTTGTTTCAAACAGTATTGAGTTTTTCAGCGGATAGATGCTTGTTGGTGGAGCAGGAGGTTTTTGTACAGCCACTCAATGGGTTTGTGTCACTGTGGTTCACGTTTGGTGGAGGAACAAAACTCTTCATTGATTGTAAGTACCACTGATTCTTATTTTATTACAAATATAGAAAATGTAACTAAACTCTGATCAGTATCAGTATTTGTAGATTGTTCATTATAATTTACTTATTTCATCGATCTGAACTTACAAACTGAGAACGATTCAGACATCTAAAGTGAATCAGTCTTGTGTGTCATTTCATTTTAAAGAGGATAAATAACTATATTTCTGTACATTATTTTCTCTTTCTCATAAA